CTGTTGGACGCAAATTACACTCTTTGAAAGCTTTCTTATCTCGAGTACGCGTAAACGGAGACATTGAAAAAAAATATGGTGCTTAAAACTCGCGATGAGTAGTCTGTACCCGAATACCAAGGCTTACAGGGGATGTCCTTAACCACGTGAACCACGCATGGTGAATTGAAAACTTTAAATCTGGGCATTTCCTGCAGTAATACTCCTTATTTGCAGAAGGGGAATGAAATTCAAACGGATTCATTTTAAAAATAAGAAAAGCGTAGAGTTATTTTTTCCGGCCGCATATTTTCGTTAAAACAAGTTCCTCCGCACACACACACACACACACTTGATCTCAGGGTTGAGGCCCCTTGAGTATCAATGAGAGTAGATTTTTCCCTCCTTTGATCTTCAAAGTTGATGTCTCACCTTTTATCTGTTATCTACCGCATCCCCTCGTTGGATTTCTAACGTTCTGGCTTACACAGAGCAGCAGATTCTATAAAGCCCAAAATCATGGGTGGCCTTAACGTATACCTATCATTTGAACCCTCTCTTCCCCCCAATCGGTAGCGCCTTTAGACGCATATCATATTGTAAAGCATTCGCATACCGCTGTGGCACTCCTCTAATTTCCGTTCCCAAAGGAATACCCGAATCTCAGAGTGGTGGAACCTGCTAATTTTGTCCATCTAGAGAGATCAACGACCAGATGGCTGTTGGCAGTAACCCGCTCGAGTCTAATGTGCACCAGTTGATTGCAGCTAAAGAGTGTAATTCTATTCCATGTTATTGAACCGTTTCGATCAGTTAAATCGAAGAATAGATTTAAGTGCTCATGCTTAATTCCGAATCCCCCGCCACTGTACAATACTTCTTAGAGTCAAGATTGGAAAATATCCTTGAGTTTGCACATTTTTTATGCCTAGTACGGATTCTTTCGGGGTACCAAATGTAAGCAAATGAGCAAGAAAAGAGCGATGGATTGCTTTCAAATGTCTGTTGTAGATCTAAATGATCCCTACAGCAGTCTTTTCGATGGTTTTAGAGCATTCTGAACAGATTGGCTTTCCCCGTTTTCCAACACACAAATGTATACAAACATACATAGATGAACCCTCAGTTGTCCTTTTGTGTTCTTGATGCGATCCGTTACAGGTATTTAATGCTGCTATTTTCGCTTTCAAACACATTAACTCGCAGATTCAAGTTCTATTTCCAAACCTGCTACTAAGAAGTCACTGAACGAAAACTTTCATTGTGATCTCTTTCATTAGAATCAGATGGACAAAACAATTTTAGCGCGCATGCACGCAACAATTCCCATGTATTAGATTATTTATTTAAAAAAAGCTTAAGTTTATATTTTGTAGAATGGCTTATATTTTAAATAACATGAACTTGAAAAATTAAATGTAGATGATCTTCACCCGAGGATTCAACTCTGTGTGTAGTTAAAGCTTGCTCTGGGTCTCCCAATATACCAGGTTTTGGACCAAAAGCTCCATCCAAATGGATTCTTTTGGGGGGCCGATCCCATGGGTGCTAATAGGCACGTCACAGATATAGGCTGCTAAGGCTTAATGGATTTTTGTATCACGATGTCAAAAGCGACCCACACAGCTGTGAGATTGCACCATTTAAAAATGAGAATTGATCAGAAAAACATTACCTTAGTGTACAAATCCATAAAATGCTAAACGTAAAGACATATTTGTAAAAAAAAAAGAATGCCGCTGGTACTCTTTTCATAGATAAAATTTCCTTTATCACTTACTTGAACACGCTTAAATTTTGCAGTACAGCTGAAGTAACCTCAAAAAGCTTTGCGCTCTTCTCAGTAGTATCGATGTCCCCGCACTACGATTGCTCACTGAATCGGAACCCAAAATTGGAATGGTGCTGCTTTTTGCCGAAATACCCTACACCCTTCTTGCTGCTTTGTGGGTGATGTAAAGACGAGGAGTGCCTTGTTTCGGTCGTCACACTCCTCGAAAGAGCCAAAAACAAAAGACCCAACAAGCTCAGGGGAAAGCAATTGCATCAAGGTTCGCTCATTTACCGCCTCGCCAAAGACATATATACCTAACTGTGGTAGCAAAGATTTCCCCTTTGTGGAACCCTTAATGGACATTCGTTGTAAGTGGTCCTCGTCTGCCATTCTGCTGTCGGAACCGTTCGTCTCCCAAGGTGCTTTGAAAGAGGCGGAAGTTAATGGTACAGACCCCGTCCTGGAGGACTCCACAACTGCCCAAAAAAACAATCGTGGGTCGTATAATTCAGGGGATTTGATCGCCTCACTCAAAAGTATCGGTGGCATGTGGCTCAACGGATTCCGCTTCAATAAACAGGATCGATGTCGGCCGTGGTCCACGCTTTCTACCTCGACCTTGTAGAATGCCGCGATGGAATGAATAAGCATGCGCTTCTCAGGATGCGCCGGGGGAAGCGAAACAAGTGACTCCGACCCTGCGAGAAAATTTTTAAGCTGTTTTTCTATTTGCTCTACCACAGCCACACCCTTCTCAGAAATGTGCTCCCACAGTTGAATAGAATAAAAGAAAGGGATCAGAGGATCACAACCACTACTCTTTAGGAGGGACGACGGTGTCTCGGGAGACAGGGAAGAAGTGTGCGTAGCACCCTTGGCGAGAGCCGAGAGGATAGTAAGTCGAGCTTCGTATAAGCAGTCTTTGTCACATGGTATTTCAAATGGCTCAACAAGGTGTTTTTGTCGATGTCGCTCAATTTGTGCACGAAACTGCACGCATGGGACACGACGACGGATTCGTCCACACTCACAGGTACGTGTCATCAAGTGTTGACAAGGTGGGCACTCAGATCCCACGTGACAAGGGCGCTCACAGGCATGGCCGCATTCTTGGTGGACGTTTATGCAGGTGTGAGTGCAAGGGTGCTGCTCATCCATACAGGGTCCACCATGGCATGGCCGCAAGCAGGGGTGCCTACAGAGAGGATGTAACTTACGGCACTTCTGCGGGCATGTGACATTGGGTTGCCAACAGGGTGTGTTCTCGACTACCATGTGTCCTCCCACACATTTCTTCGAGACCAAGTAAGTGCAGACAGGACAGTCCCCGTAGTGACACCGATGCGGGACAGGCGGATGACCACACGCCGGCCTTACCTCGCACAAATGCGGACAATCAGGAGGCTTTGCGTCACACGGCTGGGGGGGCATCAGCATCGTCCGCCCACAACGGCAATACAGTGGCTCTGTTATGAAGTAAACACAGGACGGGCACGCCCCGCGGTGACAAGGCTCAGAACAAGTGTGGCCACATTTGAGTTTACGCCCGCACGCGAGACGACATTCATGCTGCGAAACGTTCGTCTTATTTCGATGTGGACAGCAAACAACCTTGCAATAGTGTCTACCGCAGGAAAGTCGAGTACCGCAGGCTCTTGTGCACTGAAAGTTATCGGCCTCCGTACAGTTTACCAGCTTTCGAATTTGACGACAGCGACAAGAAGTCTCCAACCGCGCCACACAGGGCATACATGGGCCTGTATGGCACTCCTTGGTACAGTTGTGAAGCCCACATTTTAGCGTCTTGCTACAAATTCGCCCACATCTCGGAATGGGATCCAAGCATGACTGCCGTACCTGTGACAGCGGTGCCGCCCCGCACGGACACGTCTGAACAATAGATGGGTCCTCCTCGCAAGGTGGGCAGTCTCCAGCATGACAATCCAAAGTACAATTGTGATTTCCACATGTCAAAGGCTTTCCACACGACTTGCCACACAAGAAGACAGCTGAGCTGCACTGCACCTCTCCTGTTTCTTTGCCGCATGGACATGTGACTGTAATGAGTTTAGTGCAGTCTCCACATTCCCCAATGTGGCAAGTACGCTCACAGTGGTGCTTATTACAGCTGAGGACCTTCCCACAAAAATTGTCACAGGTCACATGAGGAATCGGCTCGCCACATCGGTAGCTGTACGTTATCGAGCCACACGGACAAGCTAGAGGCCCTATAGTAACATGGCACTCGGAACACGGCCCCGGGTGGCATTGCAGTGCGCACGGATGCGGGCAACCGTTCTTCCGTGCCTTCCCACAAATGCTGCCACAGCTGTGCGGAATAACAAAGGGATCGTAAGGTGGGTTTATCATCCTTTTACAAAAACATTTGTACTGTTTTACTGACTCTGTGTACTCTGTCCGACATTGTGGGCAGCAATATGAACTGTAGGCTTCATCAAGACGAGAGCTGCTAGCTCCTTTACATGCCCACCGCTGGATGCACCGCAAGTGACACATATTAAAGCAGCAAGAACAGCACCAGATAGCATCATCAATCTTAATCAATTCGAGACAGCTTAAACATTCGTAAGTGTTATCGATGAGCTGTTGTGTCAATTCCCGAGCGCGAGGGGGTAAATTATCAAGGTTGTCCAATTGCACACGCAGCGCTACTCTCGTAGCGTGTTTGTGGCGCTTTGGCCTCTGATGACAATGAAAGGATCCTCGCTGAGCCATTGATGTAGCGTCTTGTGGCTTATCATCAGATTTTTTTGTCTTTTGATTGTTGAAATAAGGGCCAGGGTTGGCCGTAACGTCCCCAGACTCCGTGTGACTACCACTCTGTGCAAAATAAACCGCTGATCCGGAAGTATTGGGTAAAGCTTCTCTCTGATTTCTTGTCAGAGCATCGTTAATGTTGCTAGAAGGGTCAACATGTCCTCCTCTAGAGCAATGTCGACTCTTGTGATACCACCGTCGATGCCGTTTTGAGCATCCAGGTTTAATGTCTGACAATTCATTGGTGTGTGTTGGTGTTAGACTTTCTTTGGGTAACATAATACAAAGGAAAAAAATTACAATATATGTGTATATGTATTGAAATCCAACCCACCCTTCCCCTTAGTTGTGTTAAGTACCTGAGACGAGCTAGAAAGAATATGGAATAATCAGATAAAAAAAAGGCGAAGGAAATGACTGCTAGTGTTTACCCATAAAAAAAATCATGCTGTATCCTCTTGCAGCACGACTCCTGGCTAATATATAAAAAGTATAGATATGGAAACTGGTACTATCAATGTAAGCTGATGAAATACATAACTTGATTAATTCAAAGAGTTAGCTCATTCAGCAAAATGTCATAATATCTAACTAAGTGTAAAGGATTTTCATAGCATAAGGATCTCCATGTACGCAAATGTTGCTGGCTAGTTGTAAATAAATATGGTATATAAATGATCTGAAGGGTCACTTAGTCATGCCAACAGTCAGCCTGGCATCCTGGTTTCCAACTCAAGCTACACAGGTACGAATCCTATACTGGGAATGTCTCACAAAATCAAAAAATTATCCGGAGCTAGAACAAGAAGTGGTAAAATATTTACACTGAGTACAGATAAAAGGCGATATATTGATCACATTCAACTTCAATAAATATTCCATTATCCCCTTAACGCACCATTTAGAGCTTGAATCTAGATACCATGTTGACGCAAACAACCCTTAGCATTCGGTTGCATATATATATATATATATATATATATTGACGAGAGTTAAATTCTGATCGATTTGATTGTCTTGAGAACGAGGGTAGCTCCTTTAGGTCAGAAACTGGGCGTGAGCGTAGGAGACAAGACACAATATATCATAATCTGAAGCTACAGTGACGAAAAAGACAAAATTCTTAAACTCCGTATATTAGTTTGATATACTACGCATGTCCATAACTGAGCAGCTACCAGGTGTCTAGTGTGTTGCCAGCGGTCAGAATTCGAGGATTAGATAAAAAAATCTGCACGCTCACTTGGAGTTAAAGTTTTTTCAGCTACGTTCATAAGCTCTCTCATACTGTGCAGCATCTGCATGGCGCGCTCATTATTCAATAGGTGAATGATACGGTTGCGCTCTACACGCTCAATGGAGCGGCGCATGTGAACCTCACCGGCCGAGAACAATCCCACCTTCCAATTAGCCGTTCCAAGGGTCATATCCGTGTACACTTGTCGCGCCGCAGTAAAATTTCTTTTATTCTGTATATTTTTAACTATCATGTCTTCCAAGCCTTGTCGAATTTCAGCGGGTACTAGATACCCATCTTTCGGGAAATCATGGGGAGAGGAAGATGCAGACGACGCATTAATCTGTGAGGATTTCTTCAACTCACTTGGAGCCGTTAGGGTGGCAGTGTTGTGGTCACACAATGCCTTGCCTTCATAAGACATGGAGCGGTAGTCCTTTAAAAGCAACGCCAGAAGCTCCAGTGCGCTACGACGGACTCGCTGCGCCCCTCTCCAAGCTTCAAGCTGTAATGCCACTTCATAGCCCTTTGTAAACTTGATGGCATCAGGGAGCATGTGATGTTCATGTAAATAAACTAGGTAACACCAGCCGACACTAGGTGATGATTCTCGAGACAACTCTGCATCACTCGATGCGCCACCCAGCACTGCATGTCGCCACTGTGCGGCAATAAGATACCATATTGTATGGATCAGATGTGCTAACTGATAGAAATACTCTGCATTCTGACCTCTTGGTTTACCTTCGGTAACTATGGCAACCTCTATGCTTTCTGTAGTGGGAATACGACTATGCGATACTAGTGAAACAGATTCCTGTTTAGTTCCTAATTCCTCACACACGCTTTCCAATAGCTGGAATTCCCCTGCATCCAGGGATGCATCATCCTTTCCTTTTAGACTTGCATTTAGATCGCCTCCTGGGAAAACTTTGTAAAGATATGACTCCACACAAGTAGGCAGTCTCCACAAATTCGGTGGAGTGGGAACAGTCCCATTATGGTCACTAGACTTGCTTGAACTCCAAAAATACGATGTGGTGCGCATGCACATGGCTAAGGCATGCAAGGCAATGTTTCGTTGGGATACAATTTCCTCTTCACTAAAGAGACAAAGTGAAGGTAAGGGTGTAGCAAGACGAAGGGTTGAATCCTTCTCAGGCAAATCAGATCGCGGCTGCTTTTGTAACTGGTCTGATCCATCAGTTTGTACACTTTCATGTGCTTGTACTGGTGACGATGCTCTGTCCGCATCCTTAGTGCCTTTTGGTGCGCTAACAGCCAATTTGGGTGAAAGCGTATCGACAGAATCCTCACAAGCTGTGGTGCTTTCCCGCCCTCTCTTGCGGTTATTCAGAGCGGTATTCACAGACAATGTGTAAGGATCCTCGAACTTTGAGTTATCCTGAGTGTTAGCACCTTTCGAAGGCAAAAGCGATCCCCCATCAATCTGTTTCACAGATGATGATGACAATCCTGATTTCGGGTTAGCAACTCCAGCAACCTCCTTTTGCTGTAAGCGCCCTTTAAGTGCGGAAAACATTTATCTAATGTAATAAAAATAGTAACTTATCTATCTTAAAACAGCCTCCTTATTCATTTAAACAACTAATGTACGTCTGCTCTTCAATAGTAACGCAAATTGATGTTAAGAAAAAGTGTAATTTAAAATAATATGCTCATCAACAACTGAAAAAATGGTGACTATATTAGATATTCTAACTTCTAACACACCTATGATACAGATTATGCATGCTAATATACATCCAAATAGTAGTAAACAGTGTTACAATAATGACGAAACCATTCATAAACTAATAATGATAAGATCTACTGTTTACATCGCTACCTACAAAATAAAAACGCACCTCATGCAAGCCTCAATTGAGTACTAGCCAATGAAGAGAAAGGAACACAGTGAGAGGATGCATTTTCATCGAAGAAGGGCACTCCTTCTATGTACAACAAAAATTATTCGTATGGTTTCCTTCCTCATAAATATATAACCTCACTTGATACTATGGTTCAGTTCATGAAGAGACGCCTCTTACTATTGCAATTCATGCTCCCTAGATTCCTTCAACAGCTTCTAGACAAAGCTTTATGCTTCGTACGTACACGCCTATGCGGTGCTGTTTCTATCACTGACAGTGCAAACTTATCGTCACGAGGCTCCAAACAGCTTTCCAGGCTAAGAGAATTTAAACATGCGTTCCTCAGTGGCTCGAGGTGATCTTGTCCAGACCAAGTGTTTCAGCCTTCCGACGGGCCACACTGGAATCGTTGTACCGAACCATTTCGGGGTTATATTCTGGGTCTAGAATAAAGCGCCTAAATATATTGGTTATTCGTTTTCGAAGCTCAGTCAAGGATGCAGACTTCCATCCACGATTTATCAAGTCAGCCTCGCGATCAATGAGCTGGCAAAGTTCTTTTGCTTCATTACTATCAGGAAACTCTTTAACAGTCCATTTGATGTGCAACAACACATCCATTCGCGAAGACGCGTCAAAATCATTGTTTGTTAGGTTATAGAAAAGATTCCTCAGTTCAGCGGCACGGAGAGTTCCAGGAGTCGTAACAGGAATTCCTCCCCAAATCTTTGCGGCAGCCGCTTTCTCTAGAACACGAACCAGTCGTTGCCCTTGTTTATTCTGCTGCACAACCTGTCGGTGCTGTTCAAGGTCTTGCAGTAACTTTACTTCTTCTTTTGTAAGAGAGAGTAAAGCTTCACGTTTTTGCTCAGCAGAAAGTGATTCGTCTTGGTTAATACTTTTCGCTTTGTTGGATCGCCAAAGCAGTAGCTCCTCTTTTAGCACACCGAAATCGTTCGCGCGGTGCGGGTTCATGCGACGAAGCTTCTCGAGATTGGCTCGGGCACGCACTGCAGCTTCCTCTATGCGCTGGCGAGCTGCAGTCTGCAACTGTCGCTCCGTTTCGGCCGCATACAATTCACGACAAATCTGTCTGGCCTTCCACTGTCGGTACATTTTTTGTAGTATGATAATTTTTTCTATACGTAGCTTTAGCAGGGCCTCAGCACTAAAGTAGGGGCGCGCCACCACTAGCACGTCATGCGTGTTATCTAAGAGCAAATCTGGTCGCGGGGTCTGGGCGCAACCTTCACGGCGTGTCTGCGTGCTCCTCGACTTACCGTATGTTTGTGTCTGACGAGATCTCAATTCATTTGAAATAAACTCTGCGCGCTTCTTTCCATTATGAGGCGAATAGTCCAAATCCGCCATGAAAATCTGCGTGCTAGCATGCAGAAGCAGGCGCTTAGGGTCTTGCCTCACGCGATACCCTCCAAGGAAAGCCTTAGGAAGAAGCGTAGGAGCCTGGACAATAGAAACAGCTGTCATGACGGCCTCATTCCCAGCTACTCCACGCTCATGCTTATTAATACTTTGAATGACTTCGTCAAATGTGAAACCCTGTCGACGGCCTTCAACGAGAACATGAGGATCGATGTTTACTTTTTCCTTTCGAACTAATATACATTTAGCGAGATACTCATCCCTCTGTACTACAGCCAAATGCTGAGGTACATTCGCCAGTGATAATGCTGTGGAAGGGACAGGTGTTGCTTGAAATTGTTTGGTGTATGAGTCTGCTGCTCCTTCTAAAACCAACTGATCGTCGGAAAGTGAAAAAATCGTCGAATCTATTACACCCGTTGGCATTATACGAGCTGGGTCAGAGAATGCTATTGAAAGCCAGAGTGGCTCTGTTCGCATCACTGCAACGGGATCATTGATCCCACCCGATAGACCAGTCGCATGAGCCTCTCGGCCAGCACTTCGCCCGCGCTCTGTTTCTAAAAACATCAGTGAATTAAAATGAATGCGTTTGTCTTGATGGTAGACGACAAATGACTGTGGGTGCATACATATATGGTGTGCAATAGCTTCAAAGAGGTCCCTAGCGATCAGAATCCATTCCTTCCTGTCAGTACTTGTAGCACTAAATCCATTGTATTCTGAAATTATTGCAATACCTTCTTTGGAAAAGGCGTTTGTGTTATAAACCGGTTGTGTCAATCTTGTTTGGAAGCCCATAGGATAAAATGTGAGTGTGATATCAGCAAAGCCCTTGTTAGATACCTCGATGTCCGTTGATAAAGACCGTAAAAGACTCAGAGAATGCATTGACAGCCCCTCATTCTTCGGTGTTGTAGGCATGGTCAGATTTTTAAAATTTGACGGGATACTTGCGCTCATATTTTCTTGTTCAATTATTCTATTATCTTCTAGACTCTCTGCTTCTGGTGGAGAAACATTCTCAGCTTGCACTCCTTGGGAAGGGTTCTGTAATCTGAAGGTTAAGGTTCCTGCATTGTTAGAGACATGCTCAGAAGACTCCATAACATCGGATGCATCATTTCGTGGAAATGCGGTTGAAGCATCCTCCAAGGCAACATAATGACTCGATAAAGGGTGTGGAGGTTCATCATGCCTATATTGACGCACTTCGTGGCCTACGTTGTCAAGTGTCTCTGGCATTTCCATTTGGATTTCCACATCATCCTCCTCCTTATAGAAAAGACCTTTTTCCTCAACACGTTCAGCAGTTAAATTACCTTTGCTTATTTGCACACCCTCATCCCCATCTTCCTCCAAAGGTGAATTGAGATAGGTGTCAGTTGGGAGAGAGAATACAGGAGGATTATCCACCAGCTCCACATTCGGCATTGATGAAGTAGGGGCCTCTGCGTTCTCCCATACCTTTATGGTGTTATCATCATCAACATTACTTCCGTCATTTTGTAAGCTACTCCGGCTACTCATAAGTTAGTAGTAAGGATGGAAACTATTTCGTGTCTTCCCTTTATTTAAAGCAAAACTAGCATGATTAAGACAATCGGATGGTTAGAAAATAAAATAGATAACAAGAAGGTAGCAAATCCTTTTCCGTGTTCTCCTTAAAATTGAAAGTACCTCTAAGCAAAGGCACAATACGAGAATTCATATATATATATATATATATATATATAG